ATATACATGAAGGTCTAATAACTTATTGGAATATTTTTCGCCAAACCTTTTTTTTTTTTTGTTATCGCTGGGGAAACCCATCATGGGGACCCTACCGGCCGTCAATGGGTAGGGTACTGTGAGACTCCTACTCACTAAAACCCACAGCGGAACCCGTCGCCGCAGTGCAATGGGGTGTGCAGGATCGCTTGCGCATTCACTGCAACACCCCTGCGGACGGCCCGTACCCCGCGGGCCTGCCTCGCCTAAATCAGGATGCCCTCGGTTCGCAGGGCATCCCGACCGCCCCGATGACGTGCAGGGGAGTCAACGAGAGACCCCCCCGCAGTAGCTCCTCTAGGGTGGCGGGAGAAGATGCGCGTACCGGCGCCTCCTCTCCCCCAGCCGACGGCGACGAAGAGGGTCTGCTAAACGTTAGCCTCGCGTTCCCTCTCCGCCGTCTCCTTCAGTGAGATGACGGCCTCGCTGAAGGAGACCATCGCCGACCAGGACCTCTCGTCGCGTAGCATGCCCCCCACCACGCTTCGCAACGACAGGTCTCCACCCACTACCGCCATCAGGGCATGGCGCTGGGGAGCCCAAGCGGCGCATACCGCGAGGGTGTGGTGCGAGGTGTCCTCGGACGCACCACACTCGTGGCATACGGGCAACGGTTCCCGACGCGCAATTTGACACAGATACTTACCAAAGCACCCGTGCCTGGTAAGCATCTGCGTCAACCTGAACGTCAGGACGCCGTGTGGCCGCCTGACCCAGCGAGAGAGGAACGGACGAACCGCCCCCACCGTCGCCCGGCCAGCCGCTGGAGTCCCCAGGTCTTTCCACCAGCGCCGGATCAGTGCCTCGTCAGCTAGGCGCCTGATCCGAGCGACTCCCTCCCGCGCTGGACGTTCCCCTCGCGCCCGCTCACTCGCCCGAAACCGATAGACTTCGGCGAGCACCTCCGCCTGGAGTTCCCAGGGCGGATCACCCGCCAGAAGTGTCGCCGCCGTGAATGACACCGTACGGTATCCCCGCACCGCCCTCACCGCCAGGACCCGTTGCGCCTTGCGCAGTTGGGCCCTGTTCGGTGCGGAGAGGGCGTCAATCCACACGGGGGCACCGTACAGTGCCATGGACCTCACGATGCCGGCGTAGAGCTGCCGGCAGTGAGATCCAGGGCCCCCGACATTCGGCAGAAGTCTGCCGAGGGCCGAGGCGGCGCCTATCAGTCTCGGGGCGAGCTGGGCGAAATGGACACGAAACGTCCAGCGTCCGTCCAGGGTCAGGCCCAGATATTTCATCTGGGCCCATACCTCCACCATCCTACCCTGGACCCGCAGACAGGCGTTGCGGGGGGCACCCCTGCGTGGGCCATGAAAGAGGAGGGCCTCCGTTTTGGAGACGGAGACCCTCAGGCCCAGCATCCCTATCCGGTCGGCGACCAGGTTGGTGCCGACTGTGGCCAAGCGTGCCGCTTCCTCGTAAGAGCGCCCCCGGGCTGTGACGAGGGTGTCATCGGCGTAGGCGATGACACCGAGCCCGGGGAGAAGCGGACAACGCAGGAGCCAGTCATAGCCGAGGTTCCACAGTACCGGGCCCAAAACGGCCCCTTGTGGAACCCCGCAGCCGACACGTCGCCGACCGACCACCCCATCTGCCCCCGTCCACACAACCTGTCTGTCGCGGAGGTACGCGTCCAACACCCGCCGGAGATAGAGAGGCACCTCATGGAACCGAAGTGCCTCTCGTAGCGTCTCAAACGGCAGGGTGTTGAAGGCGTTGGCCACATCCAGCGAGACGGCTAGCATCACGCCTCCCTCCTCCACTGCGGCCAAGGACCGGACCTTCAGAGCGTTCAGGGCGTCCACGGTCAACCGACCCGCCCTGAACCCGAACTGAGCCTCCGAAAGGCCCGGCCCCACCTCCTCGAGATGCCGAGTAAGACGGGCAACGAGAATTCTCTCGAAGAGCTTGCCCATCTCACTCAGCATCACGATCGGCCTGTATGCCGAAGGGGAGTCCAGAGGACGACCCTCCTTTGGGCAACAGGCACAACATCCCCTCCTTCCAGATCTTCGGGAACTGCCCAACGCGAAGAACAAGCGTTGAAGAGGTCCCGAAGATCCCCTCCCAGGTATTCCAGGGCGATGCACAGAACTCGCCCCGGAATACCATCCGGTCCCGGAGCCGTCCGTTTGGCCCGCAGTTTATCGCGGGCCAATTCCATCTCCCCCTCGGTGATTGGGGGGAATTCCTCCACTCCCACAGAGCGTGTGGGAGGAGCCATCACCGGGAGGATGTGCCCAGACGACTCCGGGAACAACCCTCCGATCAGTCGCAGGAGGACCTCGGGCGGCGTGGGTCTCCGTGACCGGGGCGCCATGCGCGCGGAGCTTGTTCCGCGCGCTGATGTAAGGGCGCCCCCATGGATCCCGATCCAGACCCGCCAGCATTTCCTGGCGGGCCGCCGCCTTGGCCTGGCTGATGGCGAGCTGCAGGGCCTTTTTGGCTGACCTGTAGGCCGCCCGCAGCTCGCTCTCCAAAACCGGGTCCAGGCCATTCCTCCTGCGACACCGGACGAACCTCCGTCTATGCCAATTACACGTCGCCCGAAGCTGTGCGATTTCGGGCGACCACCAATACACAGACCGGCGACGCCGGTCGATCCGCCTGATCCGCGGCATGGCCGCATTGCACACCCTCGTAAGGGCGTTGCACATGCGGCCAGCCAGCTCCTCGACATCGGAGCTGGCGCCCACCACACTCCCCTGGGAGCACCATGCTTCTACGATGGCCGCCTCCTTGGCCAGCTCAGTATCAAGCCGGCCCAGGGCCCATCTCGGGAACGCTCGAGAGGGCCCCCTTGGGCGGTCCACCGGCACCGGACGGGTGGAGATCTCGAATCGGATATAATTGTGATCCGACAGAGTCTCCACCTCCTCCTCTACCCTCCAGTTGATCACCCTGCGTGCGACGGCGGGGGTGGCGAACGTTAGGTCAACCACGGACCCCCCCTGCTGTCGCACGCACGTGAACGCTGTCCCCACATTGAGTAGGGACAGACCGGAGAGTAGGGCCCACGTCTGAACGGCTCGCCCTCGGGCGTTCGACGTGGGATTCCCCCAGGCCAAGGACTTGGCATTAAAGTCACCGAGGACGATAGTGGGCCTCGGCGACTGCCTGCAAACCGCAGCGCGGACGGAGTCGAGGAAGATCTCGAACTCCGCCAGACTGCGGTTGGGGGAGAAGTACACGGCGACCACCGCGTACTCTCCCCACCCTGCCACGACAAGTCCTTGGCCCCTCTCGATTGCCGAGAGACGGGGGCCAGTGCTGCTCCCAGACACTAAGGCCACGGAGCCCTCTAGGTCCCCCACCCAGTTCGGTTGGTGAGGGACAAAGTAGGGCTCACAGGCCGCCGCCAGATCTATTTCCCACTCGGCCATGGACTGTAGGAAAAGGTCCTGCGCCCCGGCCGAGTGGTTTACATTCCCTTGGAGGAAGCGCTTATGTCCAGACATTATGATGACATATGCGCTTCCTCAGCCTGGCGGCTTCCGGCACTAGTGACGGCTCCGGTCCGTGGAGCCATCTTGCCTTTCACGATGGGTGGGTTGCAATCGCGCCCACCCATCATATGCCCAGAGGGGCGCCCTGCATCCGCGCAAACCGCACAGCGGACTGTCTTCGCGGTGCAAGCAGCGGAGTGGTGCTCATCGCTGCCGCACCGGAAGCACAGGCGCCCCCGCTCCACCCTCGATGGGCACCGAGGTAGGGTGTGCCCAAGACCCATACACCTGAAGCAGCGAAGTGGTCGCTGCTCCAGCACCTCGACCTTGGCCGACGACCACCCGACCAGAAGTCGGCTCGCGTCGGCCACTTTTTTGGCTGCCGTAACTGGGCATCTTACGACAGCCGTGCCCATCCCCGCCTTTCCGGTGTGGACCCGGCTCACCCAAATAGACCTAGCGACTGCCTCGATCACCGCCTCCTTGGTGACCGAGTCATCCAAGCCCCAAATCCTCAGCTCCCCCGTTTTTGCAGGGCGAGCGATGGTTGCCACCCCGTCGAGAACCTGGCGGAGCTTGTCCGCCAGTCTGTCCGCCGCTTCCGACGGCACAGAGGGCGACAGCTCCAACAGCCGCGCCCCTGTTGCCGCAACCCTTACGGTCAGGCCCCCGGTGATGCCCAACTGGGCGAGGTCAATCCCCATCCTCGCACGCTCCAGCAGCTTGGCGTAGGTGACACCCTTAGCCGCCGCCTCCTGCTGGAGCGTAATAATAACCGCCGCTGTACGCGGCGGGGCCGACACCTTGGGCTTAGCCGGCGCCGAAGGGGCCTTCTGCACCACAGGCGCCTTTGGCCCCGAAGGAGCCTTTGGCGCCGACTTTGTTCCAGCCGGGGCAGCCGGGGCCGCTGCGGGGGAGGACTTCTTCCCCTTCCCTTTGCCCTTGCGGACCACCGTCGCCCATGAGTCATCCCCGGCAGTACTCGGTCCCGCCACGGGGGCCGGAGGAGCTGGTTCCGCCACAGGAGCCGCTGTCGCCGGCTGCGACCTAGGGCGCGCCGGGGCTGCCGTCAAATCCACATTGGGCTGACGCCTGCGCGTCGCCGAACCCTCGCCCGCCACAGCCGCTACCGGTGCTGGCGTGCTCTGAGGCACCTTCGGCGCAGGCTTAGGTGCAGATGCACCTGCCTCCTTTCTTCTGTCCGCTGCCAGAGGCGGACGATGCGACCTGGCCGGCAGCAGGCGTTCCTCAATGCCGGCCAGTTTGGCATCCATGAGGGCCCCAACCGAGGAGATAAGAGAGGCCCTCAACTCCTCTAAAACATCCCCCTGCAGGGAGGAGGACGGCGCACTCGCCCTCATCTCCGAGAACTGTCGACGGTGAGCCTTAACCTCCGCCTTCAGGTTCTCCACCTCCTTGCGCAGCCGCTCATTGTCGGCAGCCACCTTCCTCGTCTCCTCATTCGAGGAGCGATCCGCCAGGGCGTCCACTATCCCCGTCAGGGCCTCAGCAGCCAGCTTCAGACGGCGGACATATTCCCCCTTCAGGTTGCCAGAGGTCCTGGCAACATGGAGAATCTCCGTCACGCTGCGTCCTGCTTCCGCTCTCAGACCCTGCACATCTCAGACCCTGCACATCTCTAGCAGAGATGCCTTCCTCCCGGCTCTCAGAGGCCGACAAATCCGAGCCGAACTCGAAAACGGCCTTCCCCGCCTTATCCGCCTTTTCAGGCTTCTTCCGAAAAGCGCGCGCCTCAAGCGCGCGCTCAAACTCCCGCTCTCTGGCCTCAGCCTCCATATTGCGCAATTCTGCGCGCGCACGGGTCAAAACCGTCCCCCTCCCAGATCCAATGGGCCTCCCCCTTCGCGCCTTATTTTCCTTCGCGCGTACTCGCTCGTCGGTCTCCGTTTCCGAGCCTGTAGAGCCCGCTAACGGAGGACGCGCAGCCGTTCTCTTGCGCCCAATGGACGCATCTGTGTCCGCGCTGGCGTCTGAGTCAGCCTTGACTCATTCGCCAACCGCACACACTCGCACACACACAAACGACGCGACAAATGTCGCCAAAAACAACAAAAATCCAAACCAAATCAAAAAAATCCAAAAATCCGTGAGAAAAGCCAAAAGTCAAAACATGTAGTGCAAGAATCGAAGTCCAATAGTCAAAGCCAATCAAGAAACAATCCAAAACACTCGAAAAAGAACCAGTAACTGATCTGCTTTAGCCAAACCTCAATTTCAGCATACCTACTTCAAACTATCTTTGACCATTCAGGCACTTAACTTGATTTTTTCGCCAAACCTAACCCAAACCAAAAAAAAAAAAAAAACAATATATATATAATCGATCGTCGTTGTGTAAATTGATATACATGAAATTATAATATCTAATAACTCATTGGAATATTTTTCGTCAAACATAACCCAAACCAAAAAAAAACAATATATATATAATCGATCGTCGTTGTGTAAATTGATATACATGAAGTAATAATATCTAATAACTCATTGGAATATTTTTCGCCAAACCTAACCCAAACCAAAAAAAAAACAATATATATATATAATTGATCGTCGTTGTGTAAATTGATATACATGAAGTAATAATATCTAATAACTCATTGGAATATTTTTCGCCAAACCTAACCCAAACCAAAAAAAAAAACAATATATATATAATCGATCGTCGTTGTGTTAATTGATATACATGAAGTAATAATATCTAATAACTCATTGGAATATTTTTCGCCAAACCTAACCCAAACCAAAAAAAAACAATATATATATAATCGATCGTCGTTGTGTAAATTGATATACATGAAGTAATAATATCTAATAAATCATTGGAATATTTTTCGCCAAACCTAACCCAAACCAAAAAAAAACAATATATATATAATCGATCGTCGTTGTGTAAATTGATATACATGAAGTAATTATATCTAATAATTCATTGGAATATTTTTCACCAAACCTAACCCAAACCAAAAAAAACAATATATATATAATCGATCGTCGTTGTGTAAATTGATATACATGAAGTAATAATATCTAATAACTCATTGGAATATTTTTCGCCAAACCTAACCCAAACCAAAAAAAACAATATATATATATAATCGATCGTCGTTGTGTAAATTGATATACATGAAGTAATAATATCTAATAACTCATTGGAATATTTTTCGCCAAACCTAACCCAAACCAAAAAAAAAACAATATATATATAATCGATCGTCGTTGTGTAAATTGATATACATGAAGTAATAATATCTAATAACTTATTGGAATATTTTTCGCCAAACCTAACCCAAACCAAAAAAAAAACAATATATATATAATCGATCGTCGTTGTGTAAATTGATATACATGAAGTAATAATATCTAATAACTCATTGGAATATTTTTCGCCAAACCTAACCCAAACCAAAAAAAAAACAATATATATATCGCCTATCCCTATTAACATTGTCGGATATGCAAATTTGTCATTTTCTTTTTATTTCACTAATCACTCTTAAAAAGTCTCTTCTTTTAGTAGCTGCAACAAAAAAATATTTTTTACGAGTAGTTTTTAAAATAGCCACGTTAACATTGTCGTATATGTCACGACCGCCAGTTAATAATGACGGATATAAACTCGCGACAATGTTCGCGGTTCGCGAGGGGCAGCAGCGCATGCGGTTGTGCCAGTACCAACCATGTTACACGGGCGAGCGCAAGTTGCGTAATATTACGTTACTATAGATTATTATTTTCTATATTTTGTTCTTATTAATAAAAATTATGTATACTAGGTCCGCACGCTTAATAAAATTAGCCATTTAACAATCTGAAGACAATTTAATGGATAAAAACAAGAGTGTTGACTTACACATTTTGACTACTGCAGATGAAGATGAAGAAAAAGGTAAATATTTATTATTATTTTATTTCTAAAATAGCTTTTTTAACATGTTACTAATTATTCAAGAATAAACTAATTTCAGTAATTGCTTTTATTCTATTGTTACTGAAATATGTGGAATAGTTCGGTTAAAATTGTAGGATGTGACATAACCGACATTGTTAATTGTCTTGAATGGAGTAAAATATGTTAGTAGTACCAGATCCGACTTTGTTAGTCGTTATAATGTATGTCCAATTTGTCGGAAGTGTTACTTCTTACTTTGTTAACGGTATGTATTTTAAAATGTTATGTAGGATGTGGTACATGTTGCTTTGTTAACTGTTTAATGGTATATTTTATACGTCGGTTGTGGTATTTCAATTTATATTTTTTTTATTGCTATTATAAAAAATGCCTTTTGACGCTTTTGTTTTACCTATACTGGTTAGGTTCTATTGACTGATAATAACTTTCGCACTACAACATACACACAAATACATATTTCTTTTATTTATTGCTAGTCTAACTTTTTATTATTAATGTTTTTTTAGTTAATAGAGAATCTCCATTGCCATGTGGTTTCCGAAACCAGTTAATTAAATTAAATGAAATGCTTGGTGACGATTTCAATTATATATATGTTGATCTCGACTTTTTACTGAACGTCATGAGTCTACTACTAGTTTGGAAAGAAGATCCCTCAGACCTGAGAAGAACTGACGAAAGAAACTCAGCGGGATTAATATTAGTAGCCTGGAGGCGATCACTTCATTCCCAAGCCGTGCAATCTTCTATAAAATCACTTAATGTATAATAATAGCCCTTAGCACACAAACGTTCTTCAACATTTTTTTTTTGATTTGGCGATAGAAGCTTTTTGAATATTTTCTGGGATCCTGTTGTAGAAGCATATACATTGTCCATAAAAACATGCCTGTGTAGACGAGTTACAGGCATTACAAGTTTGTGTTTGCTCCTAGTATTAATGTTATGCATGTCACACATCTGGATAAATTTGTGTATATTTTTATGAACATATGTTTAAAACATTTTCGTACACGTACTGAGAAGCAACAGTCAATATTTTTATTTCTTTAAACTTATCTCTTAATTTCACGAATAGCTCTTTTCTGCTGGACAAAAATCATATTAATAGCAGTTGCATTTCGCTATAGTAAGATACCATAGAACATAATACTATGAAAATAACTAAAATATACTATGCGAGCTGTATCTACCTCAGTAATATGTCTGCAGAGCTAAGTCTACTTGCTAGCCTCTCAATGTATATACTTGGAACGGAATTTCGGAGAAGAGTTACATCCAAAACGAGAGTGACAGTGTGCATTCGACTATTGAGCGCGCTAGTGATCGCAGGTTAATCTATGTTCCAGATGAATGGTACTGTCTTGTTCGCTGGGCTAAAGCTAAAAGTAATCTCTATAGAGAAAAAGAAATCACAATCTCTGATATATTCTTATCATCAACTTCTGTTGTCAAATAAAAATTGATCGAACAACAGTGATAATAAGAAAATCCGGTGTCGGTACATGCACAGCACTATAATGGTATTGAATATAAGTATAATTTTGATGATGAATCGAAAACTGTAATAGTATTGCGATCTGGTTTTGATTTTTATGAATTTCTAAACCCAGCAGGCTTATAATGGGGATCTTTCTATCAAACGTGATAAATATAAGGATTTAATTAACCCCTGTAAAAGTGGAATAATTCCGGAGAAATATCACAACTTTGATAAAAAAAGGAAGTGCCCAAGAGCCACTTGAAGACACTGATGAGGATGATTAATTAGTAATGTTTCTCTTTTAAGACTGATGATTTTGTTTCTGTGTTACGATAATAAAACCTAAGCTGTGATGATAAAGTGGCATTTTTAGAATAGTTACGAAAATTCATACTTTTGTTGAGATTATTTAATCTAGGTAGAGTACCCATATTAAGTCATTATAAAAGCTTTTTTACTGAATGTAAGATAATTATATTATAACTCTGATCACTTTTATTTTTATCCTCCTAGAGTCATTCATATTATTACAAACTTATAAGATTTTTTATGAGTAATTAATGCTATGTTGGTCAAGCCTTATTTTTGTGGAGTCTGTTATTTTATAAGATTTTTGTTCGGCTGAGTAAGTTTTTATTTTTATCCTTACGAACTTTTTTTCTTACTCCTGGAGGTTTTTTTTTGTATTCTAATTTATAAGCTTTTCATTGCTTATGAGGTTGTGTAAATAAAGCTATTTTATTTTTTATGCTCCTAGAGTTTTGTTTTGAATGGTGTTCATTTTTTTAATAAATATCTAATTACAAAGATATCTTTAAATATGTTTTATTTTTGTATTTTGCTTTAGATACATTAGACTTTGGTCTAGGGTTTACTGTTAACAATGATATATATGGCACTTCCAACATATAACAAATAAGTTTTTACACGTAACATTGTCGTATGTGGCACTTCCAACAAATAGCCAAGTAGTTTGTACATGTAACATTGCCACATATGCCAGATTCGACATATTAAAATTGATTTGGTACGGTTAAAAAAGTCATTTCTGACTTTTAACATATTTAGAAAAATAAAAACCATACTTTATTACCATGTAATTAAGATCATAAACGTGTATTAAAATTCAAGTAATTTTAATTAACCTAACTTCTACATTTAAAAAAATATCAACAATTCAAACTTTGACACGCTCTCCTGTAAAGTTGCCGAATTTCACATCCGACAATGTTAATAGGGATAGGCGATATAATCGATCGTCGTTGTGTAAATTGATATACATGAAGTAATAATATCTAATAACTCATTGGAATATTTTTCGCCAAACCTAACCCAAACCAAAAAAAAAAACAATATATATATAATCGATCGTCGTTGTGTAAA